TACTTACAGGCTGTCTGAAATGTCCACAGGAAGGCTCACCAGGTTATAACATTCATAAACCAGTCGGAGAACACTTCAATCTCTCTGGTCACTTGATTTCAGACCTAAAGGTCACAATATTACAACAAAAAAAAATCATAGAGTATCAGAGTTGGAAGGGGCCTCAGGAGGTCATCTAGTCCAACCTGCTGCTCAAAGTGGGACCAATCCCCAATTTTTGGCCCAGATCCCTAAATGGCCCCCTCAGGGATTGAACTCACAACCCTGGGTTTAGCAGGCCAATGCTCAAACCACTGAGCTATCCTTCCCCCCAACTTCAAAAACAGACTCTAACGAGAGACTGCTGAATTGGAATTAATTTGCAAACTGGATACAATTAACTTAGGCTTGAATAGAGACTGGCAGTGGATGGGTCATTACACTAAGTAAAACTATTTCCCCATGTTTATTTCCCCCCACGCCCCACTGCTCCTTGGATGTTCCTGTTAACTGTTGGAAATGGCCCATCTTGATTATCACTACAAAAGGTTTTCTCCACCCCCACCCCTGCTCTCCTGCTGGTAATAGCTCATCTTAAGTGATCACTCTCCTTACAGTGTGTATGATAAACACCCATTTTTTCATGATCTGTGTGTATATATAAATCTCCTCACTGTATTTTCCACTGAATGCAACCGATGAAGTGAGCTGTAGCTCACGGAAGCTTATGCTCAAATATATTGGTTAGTCTCTAAGGTGCCACAAGTACTCCTTTTCTTTTTGCGAATACAGACTAACACAGCTGCTACTCTGAAACCTGTCATTATGCAAGGCACTGAATTTAGCCGTATGGAGTGGAAATCTATCAACTTCATGAAAAAACTCATACAGATACAGACAGACATCATCTTTCTTTCCAAATGCAAACAGATGGACATTGTACCAAAAGGACTGAAGGTAAAAAATCCATTACAATCTATATACCACACAGACTATGCTGACAGCTTGTGCCACACGCTCTCAAAGAAACTGCGGAATCACCCAATCAACATCCTCTACAGCAAACAGGGAAAGATTAAGAATGAGCTCTCAAAACTGGATACTCTCATAAAAAACCAACCTTCCACACAAACTTCCTCGTGGCTGGACTTTACAAAAACTAGACAAGCCATTTACAACACACACTTTGCTTCTCTACAAAATAAAAAGGACACTAAACTATCTAAACTACTACATGCCACAAGAGGCCACAGCAATGATTCCCTTAACCCACCCAGCAATATTGTCAATCTATCCAACTATACTCTTAGCCCAGCAGAAGAATCTGTCCTATCTCGGGGCCTCTCCTTCTGCCCCTCCACCCCCACGAACATGATACAGTTCTGTGGTGACCTAGAATCCTATTTTCGACGTCTCCGACTCAAGGAATATTTCCAACACACCTCTGAACAACATACTAACCCACAGAGACCTTCCTACCAAGACTACAAAAAGAAGGATTCTAGGTGGACTCCTCCTGAAGGTCAAAACAGTGGACTGAACTTCTACATAGAGTGCTTCCGACAACGTGCACGGGCTAAAATTGTGGAAATGCAGCATCGCTTGCCCCATAACCTCAGCCGTGCAGAACACAATGCCATCCACAGCCTCAGAAACAACTCTGACATCATAATCAAAAAGGCTGACAAAGGAGGTGCTGTCGTCATCATGAATAGGTCAGAATATGAACAAGAGGCTGCTAGGCAGCTCTCCAACACCACTTTCTACAAGCCATTACCCTCTGATCCCACTGAGGGTTACCAAAAGAAACTACACCATTTCCTCAAGAAACTCCCTGAAAAAGCACAAGAACAAATCCACACAGACACACCCCTGGAACCCCGACCTGGGGTATTCTATCTGCTACCCAAGATCCATAAACCTGGAAATCCTGGACACCCCATCATCTAAGGCATTGGCACCCTGACAGCAGGATTGTCTGGCTATGTAGGCTCCCTCCTCAGACCCTACGCTACCAGCACTCCCAGCTATCTTCGAGACACCACTGACTTCCTGAGGAAACTACAATCCATCGGTGATCTTCCTGAAAACACCATCCTGGCCACTATGGATGTAGAAGCCCTCTACACCAACATTCCACACAAAGATGGACTACAAGCCATTAGGAACAGTATCCCCAATAATGTCACGGCAAACCTGGTGGCTGAACTTTGTGACTTTGTCCTCACCCATAACTATTTCACATTTCAGAGTAACAGCCCTGTTAGTCTGTATTCGCAAAAAGAAAAGGAGTACTTGTGGCACCTTAGAGACTAACCAATTTATTTGAGCATAAGCTTTCGTGAGCTACAGCATCCGATGAAGTGAGCTGTAGCTCACAAAAGCTTATGCTCAAATAAATTGGTTAGTCTCTAAGGTGCCACAAGTACTCCTTTTCTTATTTCACATTTGGGGACAATGTATACCTTCAAATCAGCGGCACTGCTATGGGTACCCGCATGGCCCCACAGTATGCCAACATTTTTATGGCTGACTTAGAACAACGCTTCCTCAGCTCTCGTCCCCTAATGCCCCTACTCTACTTGTGCTACATTGATGACATCTTCATCATCTGGACCCATGGAAAAGAAGCCCTTGAGGAATTCCACCATGATTTCAACAATTTCCATCCCACCATCAACCTCAGCCTGGACCAGTCCACACAAGAGATCCACTTCCTGGACACAACGGTGCTAATAAACGATGGTCACATAAACACCACCCTATACCGGAAACCTACTGACCGCTATTCCTACCTACATGCCTCCAGCTTTCCCCCTGACCACACCACACGATCCATCATCTACAGCCAAGCTCTACGATACAACTGCACTTGCTCCAACCCCTCAGACAGAGACAAACACCTACAAGATCTCTATCAAGGATTCTTACAACGACAATACCCACCTGCTGAAGTGAAGAAACAAATTGACATAGCCAGAAGAGTACCCAGAAGTCACCTACTACAGGACAGGCCCAACAAAGATAATAACAGAACGCCACTAGCCATCACCTTCAGCCCCCAACTAAAACCTCTCCAACGCATCATCAAGGATCTACAACCTATCCTGAAGGACGACCCATCGCTCTCACAAATCTTGGGAGACAGGCCAGTCCTTGCCTACAGACAGCCCCCCTCAACCTGAAGCAAATACTCACCAGCAACCACACACCACACAACAGAACCACTAACCCAGGAACCTATCCTTGCAACAAAGCCCGTTGCCAACTGTGTCCACATATCTATTCAGGGGACACCATCATAGGGTCTAATCACATCAGCCACACCATCAGAGGCTCATTCACCTGCACATCTACCAATGTGATATATGCCATCATGTGCCACCAATGCCCCTCTGCCATGTACATTGGTCAAACTGGACAGTCTCTACATAAAAGAATAAATGGACACAAATCAGATGTCAAGAATTATAACATTCATAAACCAGTCGGAGAACACTTCAATCTCTCTGGTCACTCGATTTCAGACCTAAAGGTCACAATATTACAACAAAAAGACTTCAAAAACAGACTCCAACAAGTGCTGAATTGGAATTAATTTGCAAACTGGATACAATTAACTTAGGCTTGAATAGAGACTGGCAGTGGATGGGTCATTACACTAAGTAAAACTATTTCCCCATGTTTATTTCCCCACCCCCACCCCCCACTGTTCCTTGGATGTTCCTGTTAACTGCTGGAAATGGCCCACCTTGATTATCACTACAAAAGGTTCCCCCCCACCCCTCCCTCCTGCTGGTAATAGCTCATCTTAAGTGATCACTCTCCTTACAGTGTGTATGATAAACACTCATTTTGTCATGTTCTGTGTGTATATAAATCTCCTCACTGTATTTTCCACTGAATGCATCTAATGCTGTGGGGAGGGATAGCTCAGTGGTTTGAGCATTGGCCTGCTAAACTCAGGGTTGTGAGTTCAATCCTTGAGGGGGCCATTTAGGGATCTTGGCAAAAATTGGGGATTGGTCCTGCTTTGAGCCAGGGGGTTGGACTAGATGACCTCCTGAGGTTCCTTCCAACCCTGATAGTCTATGAAGTGAGCTGTAGCCCATGAAAGCTTATGCTCAAATAAATTCCTTAGTCTCTAAGGTGCCAGGAGTACTCCTTTTCTTTTTGCAGATACTGACTAACATGGCTGCTACTCAGAAACAGGTGGGGGATCAGCTTTTCCTAAGGCCTATTGTTTTCCCTAATGGCCCATTACCCTGAATGGGCCCTTCACAACCAGCTATATAGACTGGAAGCATCTTGCCTAGTAGGTGTCACTCAAGTGTGACTACATGTGAAATACAGATACCTAGACAATATTCCTAACTTCAGATTCAAAAATGATACATGCATACAAATAGGATAATCATATTCAACAAATCATAACTTTTCCAACGACACGTCACATGCCCCATCTTGTACAAAAGGCATCATAATTATGCCATAATCATATAATAATAGTATCACTGTGGGGTGCAATGCCACAGCCAGATTTGAACATTTTGGCCCATCCCATTTTCCCAAGGCCACCAGGCTCAAGACCACCAGGAGACCTAGTGCCCAGCCAGACCTAAATCCCAGATACTTCCCTTATGCACCCAGAGAGAGCAAGGGGAGAGGGAGAGGGAGAGGGAGAGGGGGCCATGGTCAAAGCATTGTAGGGGATGTAGACACATTGATTCTATTGCAATGGACAGAAGTGTCCCAGTCCCCAAAGCTTGCTCCCAAAGTCTCAACTACACTGGAGCTCTCCCCTGCTGTCTGGCCTCCAGAAAAGGGGATGGGAGGGATGGGCTGTCAAAGGCCGGCCCTGAGGAAGGGCTCTGAGTACGACACGGGGGGGGCAGGCGAAAAGTAGCCACTGCAACGCCCTGCGAAAAGGGGGGAGGCTCATCCGAAAAATCCTGCCGGGGAAAAACGCTGGGGCTGGGGCGTGAAGGGGCGGGAGATCCCGTGCGCGGGGGGCACCGCCATTGGAGGGTTGATGGCAGAGCGAGGGAGCTGGGGTCATCCAGGGCCAGGCTCCACCTGCGACGCGCGTTGCTCAGCCCCGGACGGACGCGGGCGCCTCGCCAGGGGAGACGCGGGGGACTCGGGCGCGGCCCCTTTAAGGCCGCTCCTGCCCGCTGGGGGCGATGAGGAGCCGCAGGGGCCGAGGAGCCAGGCGCAGCCTGACAGGTAGGCGGGGAGCCGGGCACGATTCTTGCCGGGCCGGCGCTTGATGGAGCCGCTGCAATCCCGCGGCCTCGGGCTGGGGATGGAGCGGGCGCAGCGGCAGGAGGCGGAGGTACGGGGAGCCCCTGCCCTGGCTGCGCCGGGCGCATCTGCAGGGGGAGGAAGCTCCGGCCACCTGCGGGCATGTCCGGCCGGAGGGCACGAGGGGTCCGGGCGGGGGGCCGCAGGAACCGGGGGAAGGGGGGTCCGGGCTGGGGGCCGCAGGAACCGGGGGGGGGTCCGGGCTGGGGGCCGCAGGAACCGGGGGGGGTCCGGGCTGGGGGCCTCAGGAACCGAGGGGGTGTCCGGGCTGGGGGCCGCAGGAACCGGGAGGGGGGTCCGGGCTGGGGGCCGCAGGAACCGGGGGGGGGGTCCGGGCAGGGGGCCGCAGGAACCGGGGGGGTCCGGGCTGGGGGCCTCAGGAACCGGGGAGGGGTCCGGGCTGGGGGCCGCAGGAACCGGGGAGGGGGGTCAGGGCTGGGGCCGCAGGAACCGGGAGGGGGGGTCCGGGCAGGGGGCCGCAGGAACCGGGGGGGGGGTCCGGGCAGGGGGCCGCAGGAACCGGGAGGGGGTCCGGGCAGGGGGCTGCAGGAACCGGGAGGACACTGCTCAGTGCGGAGTTGGCCCTGCAGCCCAGGTGCGGGTGGGCCATGGTTGTGTCATCGCCGGGAATACAGGCTCCCGCGGACGGGTTAAGCTTGGCAGGAGGACCGGGCCCTGACTCCGGGGGCCAGGGGGAGACGATGGCAAATATTAGGGGGAGCCAAAAATGTATGTGTGTGAGAGAGATGCGGCTCATGCCTGTCCCCCTGAGTGCCCAGCCCCTGGACCTGGGGGCAGGTGGGGGCCACTTCCCAGAGGATGCTGCCAATAAATTCACGGGGCTTCTCTCCCCCTCTGCTTGGCAGCTTCCTGCCAGGGCTGCCCTGCCCCCAGCCTGCCCAGCCCGAGAGGAGCCTGCCCCAGTCACTGGCCATTTCCAGGGATGAGGATGGTTTATTATGTGGCCTGCAGCATGTCAGCTTAAATCCCAAGATAAGGCTGGGCCGAGCTGTGTGGCCCAGTCCTGCAATGGGATTCACGCAGCTGGACCCTTCACCCTCACGGATGGCATCAAAGGATGGGGGCCTGTACTTTGAAATGGACTCTCCCTGTTGCACTGAACAGCTCAGCTTTCCTGGCCCATGCGGGGCCAGGGGTCCCTGGGCTGGCCCAGCTGTGCCCGCAGAGGCTGTTTGGCTCAGGGGGCAGCTGGCGCCAGGGCATGTGGTTTTGTGTCTCTGAGGCACGGTGCCCTGGCATGGCTCAACAGGCAGCCGGGGGCTGGCACTGTGATGGCAGGAACGAAGGGCCAGTGGCCTTTCACGCTATCCCAGATTCACTCCACCCTACATGACAAGCTGAGGCAGGCCTGGGCCCCGGAGCTGTAGGGACGGGTGGCATCTGTGCTAAGGGAATGGACTTTCCCTTGCTACAAGCTGCCTGCGGTGTTACTTCTGTGGGGTCCCCTGGCCTGGGGTCTTTGAGTCTTCCTGGGCCGAGGGACAGATGGACTGGAGCTCACGGAGTGTAGGGGCAAGTGACACCCACAGCTCTTTGGGCGGGAGGGGGCTGCGTGCCCAGTGCCATGTGAGGTTATGGGGTGACGGAGATGACTGGGGTGGTAACAAGCTACAGAAATGAATGGATTGAATTGCATGGAGGAGTCTAACAGGAGCTGTTCACAATCCCCCTGTCCCCTGTCACCACCTCTACCACCCTGTGCAGAGGGGTTTTCATCCCCTTCCTCTGCATCTTGGTGGAGCTGTGCCCCCCCCCCCCCCCCGCTCTTGTAAGGAGCTGTTTGCCTCCCATCTCTTGGATCTATACATCCACCCTTCCTGGGAGAAGTCAGTTCTCTAGTCACCCTCCCCCCAGGCTCTGGGCAGGACCTGCCTGCCCCACAGCCCCATGCCTGCCACATGCTCCTCCGGGTTAACAGACTCCACTGCCCCATTCCTCAGACCCCAAGCTAACAGGCTGAGGGGGGTCGGGGGTGAGCATCCCGCCCCCTCTGCTCACCCTGCTGAAGGCCTGCCATGAGCTGCTGAGTCAGCAGGATGAGGAGGGGCATGGCCCCTGTCTATGGCCACTGTCCTCTCACTAGAATGGGCCTCTGAGTCCCCATGTGCCTTGTGCACAATGCTGACCCCAAATGTGCTCATTGACTCTGGGCATCCCCTCCACTTTCCACCCCCCTCCCCAGGAAGGAAGCAGGAAAGTGCCAGAAATTCAATTAAGGGAGAACTCCTCCGAACTCTGATCAGTTTCATTGTGTCTCCTCCCTAATTGTGTGCAGGGAATGACTATCTCCCCCAGAGCCAGTGCCAGCATTCAATGGGGAGAGACAGGGTGAGCAGGGAAACCGAGTCATCTGGGGTATTATTTGCTGAACAGATCAAAATTCACCCCGTGTGGCTGTGAATGTGACAATGACTTCTGAAGTCTGTGTTGAGGTATGCATGGGGGGAGAGAAGGGCTTGGCACATGCTGGATGCCTGCCTATGTGTAGGGAGTGTGTGTGTGTGTGTTAGAGAGCAGACAGCATACGTATGTGCGTGTCTGTGGGTGTGTGCGTTCATGGATGTGTGCTTATGTGCGTGTGTGTGTGGGGGAATGCACAGAGTGCGTGTGTCCCAGCATAGGGCATGTGTGTGAGAGAGCTGGTGTGGGGGAGTGAGAGCACCGGGTTTGGGAGAGTGCATGCTGATGTCTGTGGGGTGACTGTGTAGGGGGTGGGGTGTGTAGGAAGTAGGGGTGAGTGCATGGGGTGTGTGCAGGGAGTGTGAGGGGGATGAGGCGTGTGGAGATGGGGGCTCAATGCATGGGTGTGGGGGTGAGTGCAGGGAGGGGAGCTATGGGGGGGTGAGTGCATGGGGCTGAGCATGTAGACCATTGGCAGAGCTGGATGCTATGTCTCTCTGTCCCCATTGCTCTTAGGCCCATTTGGACTGCGAGGTTCTCTGCTCTCCAAGGGCAGGTCCCCAGAAGTAATGGGGTCCATGCCAGGTTCACATGGAGAGGGGGCTCCCTCGTGCCAGGGTAACGGGGTTGGTGCTGGGTCAGATGGAGAGGGGGCTCCCTGGGGGTGGGATACAGGGTCAGTGCTAGGTCAGATGGGGAGGGGGTTCTCTGGGGCCGGGTAGTGGGGTCAGTGCTGGGTCAGATGGGCATGAGGCCCCTGGGGGTGGGATCCAGGGTCTATGCTGGGTCAGAGAGAGAGGGGGCTGTGGGATCCGAGGTCGGTGCTGGGTGAGATAGGGAGGGGTCTCTCTGGGGATGGGATCTGGGGTTGGTGCTGGGTCAGATGGGGAGGGGGCTTCCTGGGGGTGGGATCTGGGGTCGGTGCTGGGTCAGACGGGGAGTGGACTCTCTGGGGGTGGGATCCGGGGTCGGTGCTGGGTCCAACTTGGAGGCGGTTCCCTGGGGCCAGCATAATGGGGTCTGTGCTGGTAAGACAGGGTGGGGGTTCTCTGGAGGTGGGATCCGGGGTCAGTGCTGGGTCAGATGGGGAGTGGGCTCTCTGGGGGCGGGATCCGGGGTCGGTGCTGGGTCAAACTTGCAGGCGGTTCCCTGGGGCCAGCATAATGGCGTCTGTGTTCTCATTGCCCCCACACTGCTCCCTCCACACCTCCTCGCTGCCCCCACCCCCACCCCTTCACTGCCCCTTCACTCCCCTCACTGCCCCCAATACCCCTCACTTCCCCCATAACTGCTCCCCACTCCCCCTCACTACTCCCACCCCACTCTCCCATTGCTCCCACCCCTCACTGCCCTCCCACCCCTGCCTCCTGACTGCCCTCACTGCTCCCCCCACACCCCCTCACTGCCCCCAATACCCCTCACAGCTCCCTCTGCCTCCACACCTCCTAACTGCTTCACATGTTCCCACTGACCCCCTGCCCACAGCCTCCTCACTGTTCCCCCACACCCCTCTCACTGCTCCCCCTGCCCCCACAATGCTCCCCCCAAGCCCCTTCACTGCTCCCCATGCCCCCACAACCCCTCACTGCTCCCCCCAACTCGCAGACATTGTGACATCCCACGGGCACACAGCTCACCCCCTGCATTCCTCCAGTGCTCCTCTTGCCCACTAATGCATGCACATCCTCACACCTCTGGTCTCCCACAGGCACAATCATACGATCATAGAATATCCGGGTTGGAAGGGACCTCAGGAGGTCATCTAGTGCTACCCCCTGACCAATCCCCATCTAAATCATCCCAGCCAGGGCTTTGTCAAGCCTGACCTTAGAAACCTCTAGGGAAGGAGATTCCACCACCTCCTTAGGTAACCCATTCCAGTGTTTCACCACCCTCCTAGTCAAGAAGTTTTTCCTAATATCCAACCTAAACCTCCCCCACTGCAACTTGAGACCATTACTCCTTGTTCTGTCATCTGCTACCACTGAGAACAGTCTAGAGCCATCCTCTTTGGAACCCCCTTTCAGATAGTTGAAAGCAGCTATCAAATCCCCCCTCATTCTTCTCTTCCGCAGACTAAACAATCCCAGTTCCCTCAGCCTCTCCTCATAAGTCATGTGTTCCAGTCCCCTAATCATTTTTGTTGCCCTTCACTGGACTCTCTCCAATTTCTCCACATCCTTCTTGTAGTGTGGGGCCCAAAACTGGACACGGTACTCCAGATGAGGCCTCACCAATGTCGAATAGAGGGGAATGATCACATCCCTCGATCTGCTGGCAGTGCCCCTACTTATACATCCCAAAATGCCATTGGCCTTCTTGGCAACAAGGGCACACTGTTGACTCATGTCCAGCTTCTCGTCCACTGTGACCCCAAGGTCCTTTTCTGCAGAACTGCTGCCTAGCCATTCGGTCCCTAGTCTGGAGCGGTGCATGGGATTCTTCCGTCCTAAGTGCAGGACTCTGCACTTGTCCTTGTTGAAGCTCATCAGATTTCTTTTGGCCAAATCCTCTAATTTGTCTAGGGCCCTCTGTATCCTATCCCTACGCTCCAGTGTATCTACCTCTCCTCCCAGTTTAGTGTCATCTGCAAACTTGCTGAGGGTGCAA